TTTGATTATTTATAAGCATATATAGGCCTATATATATTTATATTATTAGGCTATATATTCCGCAATGGTTTCTTGTCTGCTCATTGCCGGTCTTCAGACAACTGGCTGCCTAATATCAGGCATATAGTTATACATATGCCTGATTATCAATCCCCATTTACAAATTCATATATGAATAAATCGCTAAACAACACTATACAAAAAATGTGTTATTGATAATGTATATAAACATTGATATTATAATGTTGCTTTATCGAGTCCATACACAAGTTATACTTTTTGTGTATAGTGGTGCGAAAGAATTGATTCCTCCATGGTGTAAACATGGTTGCGACGTGAACGTCCTTTCTTGACCACAATGCTGCTGCGTATAGCCCTTGTTGGCGGGGAAAATGAAATTTTAATTGGAAATACTATCTGATGTCTAATAATTATAATACTAATTAAAAAATATACTATTATACTTTACTTGATCAGCCTTGTGTAAATCATATCGAAATTACAATTTAACAACCAACAACTGAATGAGAAATTATAATAAATCCAAGCGACATGAAAACAATATTCTTAATCCAACTGACTACGAACAAATTGAAACTAATTTAGTTTTCCTAAGAGATAAACTAACTCAGGTGACTGGCAACTCGTCCATCCTATGGGATTGTTCAACAGAAATGGAATCATCACCGACCTGTCTCAGATTGTACTCTCGAAATGGGATTTTTCTAACGGTAACACTCTGAAAATACATCAAGTATTCATTTAGAACTCAGATTGCAAATCTCAAAAACTCATTCACCGTTGGTACCTTGTGCTCACGATTTTACAGATTTATGCCCTGATGTGTTTAGTTTTAATATCCTTTATAACAATGCATAATTATTGCGTATACGCACGCACATACATTCCTATTATGTCGGTAAAGCCTATACTAAAATATGTAGAATTTATATTTCAATTGTATAATATATATACATATATATATATACATATATATATACATATATATATATGATCTTGAAGGAAGTTAGCCGTTAACACTGTCCTTATTAAACACTGTATATGTACCTTTGATGATTTATATTATATATATATATATATATATACATATATATATATATATTTATATAAATGTAGAGAATTTAACATACGTGCATTCATGATTACTGACATCCGATATACCATACATAATACACCTATTTACTATAGGCCTATATAATAAGCTTATATATATGTATAAACATATACACATAAATTTAAATTAAATGGTATAGGCTTAAGGTATATAAACTCTGTATAAACAATCAGAACTCGAACATCCATACACACTTACATATAAAACTTGTCCAAAAATAAATCTAATTTGTCTTTTGCGGCACAATCTACACATACAGTATACGATCATAAATAATTAAAAAATAAATAGATATTAAATGTTAAATAACGATTACAATGTACACATAATCTGAAAATATATTTGTTTATCATTTAAGCATCATTTGTTTATAGACAGGGAACTAGGCCTCATAGGCCTACTCTATACTATACACTTTAAAATAGACCTTTTAATAAGCTTATATATATGTATAAACATATACACATAAATTTAAATTAAATGGTATAGGCTTAAGGTATATAAACTCTGTAGAAAAAATCAGAACTCGAACATCCATACACACTTACATATAAAACTTTAAAAAAAAAAAAATCTAATTTGTCTTTTGCGGCACAATCTACACATACAGTATACGATCATAAATAATTAAAAAATAAATAGATATTAAATGTTAAATAACGATTACAATGTACACATAATCTGAAAATATATTTGTTTATCATTTAAGCATCATTTGTTTATAGACAGGGAACTAGGCCTCATAGGCCTACTCTATACTATACACTTTAAAATAGACCTTTTAGTTAAATTTATGAATCCGCATAGGTTTTATGAAGTGATATATCGTTCAATATTGTTATTACATAGGCTTATCCTAACGTGACAAGTAACACACGCACACTTTGTCCAATAATCACACAGCGTTAAACGCAAATGCGCATATAGGCAGTGTGAATATGTTAGGCTTAGGCTAGGCCTAGGCCTAAATATAATCAACGAACTTTTCACCTTTTAAATACATTTTATAACAAATAATATAACTGTTTTATTAGGAACATACCTATGTATTTTATCATATAAACATCATTTTAAATAGAATTTAATTTAAATTTTAAAATGACCATAACTTTACAACACTAAATTTGCAGATACAGAAACCGTGCACCCAGGCCCGCAACACATACTCGCTATTGGTTTATTTAAGATATACAGTAATAAAACGCTTGTT